ATAGATGTTGTCTACTCACTGCGATACTTTTAAGCTTATAAACCAAAGCTTTTGCAAGATATGAATTTTTTATGATTTAGACAGCTTTTAGTGAAAATTCACCATTGAAAACCTAAAAACCTGTTATCACTATTTAGCTACCTCTGTTGACTCAGGAAAAACTTATTTCATTTAGGCATAGGTCCCTAAGAGCCGCTGAGCTTCTGCAGCGTGAACAGAGGTATTTAAAAGGTGATAACAAGTTTTTAGGTTTTCAGTGGTGAATTTTCACTAAAAGCTGCCTAAATCATAAAAAATTCATATCTTGCAAAAGCTTTGGTTTATAAGCTTAAAAGTATCGCAGTGAGTAGACAACATCTATCTTCAACTGTGATGAAAATTTCCAACTCCTAGCTGATCATGGTCGTAAGCTATTAATCAATTATTATTAATGGCATTTTCATTAATTAACTCATATCTCCGTCAAAAAGGCGCATGGGCCCAAACCAACTTGCGGTTTTACACGGCTGACTATTCCCTACATTATGAAAATAGTCTGAGTCGAAAAGCTTTTAATCACCTCGAGAGGTTCCCTCATAAGTGCATTAAGGCTACATAACAGGAAGTAATATATAGCATTGTTAGACTCGAATCAAGGGCAATAGTTTCATAATACCAGAAAGCTAATAGAATCTCAGTGACCTGCAGGGCATTTGAAGAGGCGTGAGAATATGGCAACCTTTATTCCTTCAAGAAATATTTGAGGAACAACTACTGTGTTTATGTTCTGTTGTGGAATGGATATTGCTACTATGCTATTTGCACTTCCGCATCCGATAATCGTCAAAAACCTTTCAGTAATAATGCGTTCAGATATACTTTGAATTTTCCGAAACACTTTCATATGACCATATGCTCTTGTCATACCATTTCGGAATCGATAAGCTTTGTTCTACACAGATTATGTTGTCTACAAGTCACTTCTTTTGTTTCTGTAATACTATGTAACAATATCTGCTCATATCTTTTTCAGTTCTAATTAGCGTTATTTCGTTTCTTTGTGAAGCTCGGATGGAGTAGAGCTCATGATCTGGTAATTAAGCGGGAGTATAGAGTCATAGTGGAATTAATTATGACAGCTTCTTTGAAAGTTTGCGTATCATATTAATATGAACAACTCGCTTCTCAATCGGTCCGTGCTAGAGTCCTACTTCAGATCCGAAGGACCTGCGTTGATAAGCTTTCCACCTCGAATCATGTCCAAAACTATCTATTTAGATATCCCTATTTGTAGCATGTGATTTAGCTGTGTCTAGAAACATGTCAACATCGTACTTCAAAAATTTATTATTTGCTTATTGGTGATTGTTTCGTGCTTAGATTCATTATGCACAAAAGCACTGCTCATTCCGATGCATCTTGTTTCCTTACCGGATTTGACTGGTTTTGTTTTTTGTATTGGTGACGGCTTCGGCGTTGAACAAAAATGTATGGACGGTGCTCAATACGATCCAGTCAAGAAGGAATGTAATGATGGCAATACCAATGGTGAGATTAATACAATACTAAATATCGAACGAAAATTCAAATAATATTTTCTCTCTCCTCGTTTTAGTCACTCGCGAAAGCAGCCCATGCTCATCATCACCATGCAAAGGTGGAAAATGTATCAATATTTTTGCTGCCGCAACGTATTATTGTATGTGTCATAATGGCGCTTCTACTCGAAATTGTGAACTTTCTTATTGTGAACGTTCTTACTCAATGCATCCGTGTGTAAGAGGACTCCCATTTTCTGAAATGCACAAAGTCTATGAGGTAAGGCAAATCTATCAAAAAAAATATATATATACATATATTAGAGTTACCGTCTAGGGCTGTCAAACGTTTGAAGATAACTCTGCCCTAAAGTATGTATGTTTTTACCGGAGGCCAGAATCAATTAATGAAACTGTGGGACAGTTATGGTATGGCTCAAGTTGTACAGAAAAAATATTCGTGACTCCATGTGCAACAGTAAATGGTGAAGAAAAATTTCCATTGGGTTATACTGATAAAGGATATATTAAATGTTTGGCGAACAAATTCTACTCAATTGAATCATGCGCAGTCAATTATGTTTGGAATTATAAGACAAAGACTTGTGTAAAGGGTAAAGGTCAGTAGTATGCGAAATCATTGTGAGTATATTATTAACGTCCACTGGAAAATTTTATTAAACAGACAAACGTCCAAACGCGTTGCCTTTCAATTTTTGAAAAAAAACAGGCGTCCGAACGCTTCTAAATGTGCGCTTTTGCATCTAGACTAGGGGTGTAGCCGTAGCGATTGAAGTTCTAAACTTTCAACGGTATTTCGTCAGTTGAAGTTCTGAACTGTCAACGGTCTCTCAGAAGTAATCTAAGATTTTTGAGTGACTGGAGTCATCATTTTTTCACACCAAACTTTATCGAAAACATCGTTAATCGAAAGCCTTAGTGAGATTTTTTCCTGACAATAGACGTACAAGTACTATATAAACCACGGTAAGAGCTTCTTTTCTTTGTTTCATCTTCCTTTTTATTTTTATTCCTTTTTTACTACTGTAGTTTATCAGTCCCTTTTAGAATATGTCATGTTGCTGAGAAAACACTATAATGAGTTTATTTTTATGAACTACCCTGTGTCTTCTTTTATACTAATTTAACTTCAAATAAAAAGCATATAACACTAAATAGTAGCCTGAAGGTGTTGTTTAAAAAAGCCGACAGCAGTCGACTATAGCAGAAGAAACAATCACCGAGAACGGAAAAAAGTCTGTGTTTTGTTTAAATGTATACACTGTAAAAAATAAAGTGTGCCCAAAGCACACTGAACTTGCACATCACTTTGATTCGCATTTGCACATCTAGAAATGCACGGTGTGATGTGTCAAAAACACACTGGCAAAATTTACACACCTGCGAACATAAAAAGGCTTTTACACATCAAGAAAGAAACACACCAGTTTGATCTGCATTTGCGCACTTTTACACATCCACAGACACACTTTATTTTTTACAGTGTAATGCTGTGCAAATAGAAACAGAGTAATATAAAGTCGTTGGGTGGTTGTGCGAAAAAAAAAAATTTACGACTATTCACGTTTTCTGTTGATATCGAACATGCAACAAATTGATCGTAGTGAAAATTTAGAATTATTCAGTATTGTATTTATCAAAAGTGACATGCAGAGAACAGTTGTCGAGCTAATCGAACCACCATTGCGTGACATCATTGATTATGTTCGAACATTCGAATTAATATCAGCTGCTAAAGATTATATCGAAAACTGTAACAACGCTAATGAAATATTTCTGATTCTGTCTTTGGTATTAGCCGATAAAATTCTTGACCAAGTATATATATCGAAACAAATTAATTCCGTTTACATTTATGGTACGAATGAGACTTCTGAGCAACGATGGAGAAAGGTGAGTTTGTAGTGTACTCTTAAGAGCCATTGTTTGGGAAAGTCAGACAGTGTCGAACAGGTGGTTATATTACCCATGGAATCTTTCTTTCCCTATTTATAGCGTTATAACGCTGTAAAACATGATTTTTCTTAAATGGTATTACAACGCTACAGATTTGTTTCATTACAACTTTTTCAGGAATATATGGCGTTGAAACTGGATAAGAATTTTCATTGCATTTAATGCGTTTCAATTTTTTATCTCGTTGCAACGCCATTAGATTTGTCTACCGCGTTATAAGTCATTAGATAATGCATAGCGTATTGTAGCGAGTTAGTATCTAACAGATTAGAATGCATTGCATATTGAGATAAGAAAATGGAATGCGACATAACACATTAGATATCAATGCGTTATAACGAGTTAGACAATATGCAAAACCAAAATACATGCTTTCTAAAAGGCACATTTTCGATACACCGACTTTTCCGCGAACGACTCTTCCGCAAACGACGCTTCCGCGAACTTTTTCAGCGAACTGACTCTTCTGCGAATGAGTTTTTTTTCGAACTCACTCTCACACTGCACCATGGCGCCAAAAGTCAATTCGCGAAAGAGTCGTGTCACGCACATTTCCATAAAAGTCTGGGACTGCCAGTCGATTCTTCTCTGAAAAAGATTGTTTCAACTATATCAGACATATATATTAGTGACTTGATCAGGTCACTAACTTGTCCTAAGTCTAGAGAATTAGGATATCAAGTTCCACGTATAGCGTTACAACGCCTTAATAGTTAATGCAATATACTAGAGAGAGCGAAGAATATTTTGATGCAAACCATTTGTCAAAAGCCTTTTTCCTCACCAAGTTATGATCCAAAGAAAAAAAGTATGAGTGTACGGAGAACTTTTGCCACTGCCGAGTGCTTATAAACAATCATTTGCTCCGTATTGGTCTTGACGTTTTTCAGGAGTGTCAATTTCATATTTTTTTTCCCACATGGTGTAATATCAATACTTGCGCTGATCTTTCCCGTGCTGAAATTTCCGTGCTTAACTTTCCTCGTGCTGAAGTTTCCGTTTCCCATCATAACACCATAATTTCAATTTTTTGGCAGCTTTTCACGTAACGCGTTACGCTAATACGTTACAATGCATTAAAGACATGTTTTTTCTAAAGTTATCGAGAGTTGTATTTTATGAAGCACCTGTAAGCGCATATTTGGCGAGTGAATAAATCATTATTACATCATGTCATCATTGAACGATGATTTTGAAATTCCTTTTCGTTCATGAGTTATAGATCGCCAGACGACATGAAAAAAAGTGAATTTTTCAGAAAAAACTCATTTTCTCACAAGTAAGGAGAAGTAGAAGTCGAAAATTTTACCAGAGATTCTACACGTGCTAAGCAACATGTCTCACAAATATTTTCCCTCAAAATCGTTCAGGTCGGCTTTGCCATAGATTTTAATGAAGAACCACAGGTCTTCAAAGATCCAACAATTTCTTCTTGCATTAACAAGCTGAAAAAGTGAAATTTTGGCATCCAGATCAGAATTCAATGCAGAATGAAAATCGATTTTTGTATTTATCAAATATGTGTGTTGCATAGCATGCGTAAGATCTCGTACTCAGAGTGGTTTGTTGTTTGTTATTATTTAGACGTTTCTGATTTTTCCATTTTTAATAGGTGAGAGGTATTTTCGATGATCCGAACGAACTACTAAATCAACTAAAATTTGATGTTAAACAGTTATCTCAAATGCAAAATGTATCTTTGCCTTGGATATCATTTCTTCCTGAAAACACGACGACAACCGTGCATGATGACTTGTTTATAACAAGACCGGTACCGGTGGCCACCTGCTGGCTTCTATATCTGCTTGATATACTCATGAAAATTAATAACGATAATGTTGATACAAAGAAAGCCGAATTATATGAGAAATTAACTGTTTATTATCATGGAAATGCCGTTGAACAGAAGAAGCTGAAAGTATTTGTCACTAACTACAATGATCATACACCTGTATGGTGGTATTCAATCGACTCATTTCTCTACCGTATTCTAAATAAAGCATGTCGAACGAGGAATATCTCGATTTTATTTCTCTTACGATTCTTTATCGTCGACATGTACAAGGTGTCATTCTTATATTTCGATACTACTCCAACCTCCCCTCCTCCCCCCATATAACTCCATACTCCATTTTAAACACAACATTTTAAAGTGACTTTTACTTACACACTTTGCTCTCGAAGTTGATATGTGGAACCCATTTAGAGAGCTGCAATCGGACTCGACCCTAGGTCGGGATGGATTCTAGTTCACATGTTGTCGGGTCAAGTTCGGATTGAGCCTTTTCCAACGCAGTTCAAGATATAATGGGTGCGGAATAAAGAATGACTCTCTTAGTATTTTCTATTTTTGTCGTGTTTCTTTAGAACCCTTAGGTTAGCGTGTTTTTAAAGATACGCTGCGAAATAGTCTACAAAACCATACTTATACTTTAATTTCAAAACTCCACCCAAGAAAGCTATGCAAATTATACGAAAGACAAAAAAAGCGAAAACTTTATACGGTCAAAAACCATTTCTTGTGTTAATGCTTTGAAAGTAAAAAACCTGAATCAGCCGTTGTGCAGCCCTGACTGCGCTCTATCTTCTAGCTACGCTTCACATGTTATGGTAAGTATGGATTTATTATATTCATTTTATTACCAATTGTAAAAATTTCTTGAGATAAATATCGTCTATCACACTCAGGAAAGCCATAAATGAACATAATTATCATCTTCAATTAATTCAATTATTATGATCTAAGACAGCCTTCGTTTAAGACAGCCTTAACCGTTTAAACTAGAGTTTTTTAAAAAGAGAGTCAGTCAATTTGGTATTTTACTGTTATTTTACTGGTATTTTATTGTTGAATAGAAACCTTGGTTGTGCAACAAAAATGACTCCTAGGATCGCTAATGGTATGGCTCCCAGCAATTGATGGTTTTTCGCGATAAATAATACTAGTTAACAATGACCCTTGTATATGAGAGCGTTGTTAAATCTGGTAATGGTATATATCGATAACCAACAAAGAAGGCTGTGAATCCACCTGCTCATAACAAACAAACAGATCTATTTCTATTGTGTAACGCAAAACTGTTTAATTTCAATTTTTATTAAACGTGAAAACAAACTGTTTCTGAATTAATTGTTCAACAAAGCTTATCTAGTCGATAAACAAAAAAACAAAAGAGATCTCTAAAACATTTTCAAACCAGGACCAGTTCGAACCATTAAACTTTTTAACAGCTGGGACCAAGTCGGACCAAATCGATTACAGCCCGGTTCGACTTGGTCTTGGACAAGATCATACGGAGCCCTGGTGTCCACATAATTAGATTCAAGAAAATTTACCAGATAAAAATAAAAGACTTTGAGAAACGTATTGCTTTTCCTTTCTGAAAGCGCCTTGTTGTATTCTACTTAGGGCAATCCAAAAGTAGTGAGGGAGGTACTTTATTTTCTTAAGGAGCGCTTCAAAAACATTTCTCTTTTAATGAACAGATAGAGCGTCTTTCGCTCTATTTTTCTATGGTATTTGATCAATATTCAACTAATATTATAATAATAAAATTTCGATAAGATCAGTTTCTTTCGCATATGTGCTGGTAACATGAATGCTCGTAAGTACTTTTTGCATAACGTTTGATAGCAACAAGATAGAGAACTGTGGTTTTCACCGTTGGAAAGAGGAGATGAAGACGCATCGAACTGTATATTACTGATTTTTTTAATAT